TGAGGTTCTTTTAATTTCCAATAAAATCTATTTCCTTTCAATTCTTCTCTATGATATTTTGTTTGCTTAATTCGATTTATCTTAGGGATGATTGATTTATTTCGATGATTGCATGTTCTTATACTTTAATCGCGGTTGCTTAATCCGCGTATGTTTCTCGTGTTTGCTTAATTCACGGTTACGATTTTATCTGTTTACTTAATTCAGAAATTAGGAACGTGTATCGTATAATATCAATTGCGCTTGTTGATTGTTATTATAATCGGAAAGGGGATAGAATCCGCTTAGGAATTGGGAATTATTAGGATCGATGATAAGTTGGGAAACGAAAATAGTAGATTAGCCGTTTCAACTCATTACTACAATCACTTTTTCTAATCACTTATTTTTCGTTTATTTTATCTTAATCAAAACCCCCCATATTTCGTTACTATATTTGATTATTCCTACAAGAATCCTTGTGAGACGATATTCCAAGTCACTGTCGTTGTACTGCATTTTCCTAAAATTACTCATTTTTGATCCGCGAGCGACCGCGGATCAAATTGGCGCCGTTGCCGGGGATTCTTGTCGTTATTAATCAATTTTAGAGTCATAGGGTTAGTTAGTATCCTCGAGTCTAGACCTTAGTTTCCTCGTGGTTTCGTCCAATTCGCGTTTTACAGTCCAAATCGTAAAAAAATCTGTTTTTGAAAAAATTGTGTCCGATCGTAAAATTGTTTTACCTACGAGAAGCAGAAAAATCGTCCGATATAGAAAAATCGTCCGAGAAGCAGAAAAAATTGTGTCCGATTGTAAAATTGTTTTACCTACGATCGCAAAAAAATCTTTTTTTCTATTTTTAATGAATTTTTTACTGTTTTTATAATGTCGAAAAAAATCGAAAAATATCTCATAATTGTTATTTTGCTTAATTAGTTTAATTCTGGTGTTATTTTATTTTTTTGAAATTTAATTAATTGTTTTCCATCATTGTGTTTGAGTCTGAGTCTGGGTCTGACTATCTGCATAACTTGTTTGCTTCGGATACTGAACTTGATTTTGAAATGGCTGATAATAGAACCTTAAGACAATTAGCTGCCCCTGATGTAAATTATAATAGCTTGTGTATTGAATATGATGATGTTGTTGTTCCTTTCGAATCGGAATCTGGTTTAATACACTTGTTGTCAAGGTTTAATGGACTTGCAGGTGAGGATCTGAATAAACATATGAATGAATTCCAAATTGTGTGCTATACACCTTCTGAACCTTCACTAGAGGACCTTGTCAAGCAAATGACTATAAATGATCTTCAGTTTCAGCAACAAACAGATTCAAGTCTTCAAGCTTTACAGACACAGATTGAACAGCTTGCCACTATAGTGAATGTCATGCAGCAAGCTCAAGATTCAAACCAACCATCTGCCGAAACAGTAGTGAATCTAAAAGAGTTTCCTTCTAATTTAGTTGATGATACTTATTCTGAAGTGTGTTTTGATTTTCCATCATTAGCAGATTTTGATGATACTTACTCTTGTGATTCATGTACCGACACTAACATTTGCTCTGTTTGTGCTGAGATTAATGTTGCCGTACAGGGTGATGTTTTTCATGCAGATGAAGTTATTTATGTAGCTAAAACTCTTAACATCACGGCTGCCCCAACCTCACCATCCATTGAACAACCTCCCCCCTTGGAGCTTAAACCACTTCATACCAATCTGAATTATGCTTATTCAGATATGGATAAAAAGCTTCCAGTTATAATTTCTTCTAACCTTGATTTTGATGAAGATAATAAACTTTTACAGGTTTTGAAGAAACTTTATTAGGGAATTGGATGGACCTCGATGGAAGTGGGAAGAAAAGCATTGAAGCAACCCCTTAACCCATTGATCTCTGATGTTGTGGAAAAGGATATCAAATTCACGTGCCCATTCGACACTTTTATTTATCAAAGATTCTTATTTGATCCTGGAATAAAAGGTGAAGGCACTTATACGAATTTCAAGGGCGATGGATGCTATCCAAAGTTACTCCCCACTTTGGAAGAGGAGATTGCAGGAAATCTCTCTTTGGGAAAGGATGCATATGTGATCACTTATCCACCTTGACTCGTCGGGTGTGTTCTTTCCTTTCCCTCGCTCTTATTTTATATTTATGTCCTTTCATTGAGGACAATGCTTGTTTTAAGTCTGGGGGAGGGAAACCTTTGCTTTACATTTTATTTTGTTTGTTTTTTTTCCAGTTATTATAATAACTGAAAAGGAGCAGGAACATAACGAGGGTATCTTCCCTGAGGGGTCTGCTGTCAGGCGAGTACTGCATAACATTATTGCAGAGGCACAAGGGGCATTTTTGTACCGGAGACATCGTGCGAGGACAGGGGGATCGATGATCGAAGAGGCAAACCAGGCATAGGAGGCTGATGAGAGGTTTTCAGGCGCACCCAATAATTATCTGTATTTATTTTGTTTCAGTACTATAGCTTGTACGTTTTTCCTGACATTGTTACTAGATTTTGGATTTACGTGACGTATGACATCCTATTACTATATTGTTATGTTATTTTGGTTTGTTTGTTATTTTATAATTCATCTACAAACAAATACACAATGCGTTTTAAAAAAGATACAAAAAACTATTTTGAAACACTTCGGAGATGTGCATCTCCGAAAAAATTCAAATGGAAATGGGCTATGGGAGATATGACATGCATGTTTAAGGTTTAAATTGTTCCGAAGATATATTCATGTAGTTTGACTCTCGATGGAAAGACCAATGAATAACCTTAACCATAATTGTGAGGTCAAAATAAAAAATGGTTGAAGTATATAACAAACAAGTCAAACTTATAAAATTATTCGAAGGAGACCTATATTGAAAAACTATTTTAATATTTAGAATTAAAAATCTCAAGTTTAGGAAACAGTCAACAAATTGAGAAAATTTTTTTATTATTAATAAAGTCTTTAGTGTATGAGCTTATCGGCTGATGAATATGCAAGATGGGGAGTTAAACATAAATATATATGGGAAATACTTCAAGAAATATTAAGTTATTATTTGGGAAAATATTGATGAACAATGGGAAGATTTTGATAATTCTTAAATAGTTGGTATTCACAAAATGAATATCAGGCTTTATGTGAAAAAAATACATAAAAGCGTCAAAATGTAAGTCTTAACAACTTCCTCTCCAACAACGGCCACATCAACAAAGATTTCCATATGATCAATAACATCATCTGTTGTTTCTTATATATTACGAAATTACATTTTATCAATCTTCTAGGACTCTCGGCCCTCATCCATATGAGTCTCTTGGCTCCTGCGATGGGAAATAGTAGTGACCCAATCAATGCTTTTGGAAGATGATGCTTCGATTTGTTAAAAGAAAACTCTAAAAATGATCCAATTTTAGGTTAGAAATTCAAACCCTTCGTATAACCTTCAAAATTAAACTCAAATAAATGTTTTTAAGGTCGTGATAGGTTTTAACTCATGTCAACTCGAGTTGAATCTCCATATAATTTGATTCTTTGATAATTAACTAATTTCTACTTCTCGACCAAATGTGATGCCTCTGGAGTAAATTAGTCTAATTCATTATTAATTTGTTCCTATTTTATCTGTAAGAGAATCATACTACCTTCAACTTCCTTTTTTCTTTGGACAACGATTATCCCATATACCTCGAGTTATATGTAAGTCTTCCAAAGGACAACCTTGATAACCTGTAAAGTTTGCATCTATTTAAGACCATGGAAGGCTTTCTTGTGGTAATCCTTGAAACTTGAGTAAGCCCCTCAAAAGACCACTTACATGGAGGGATATACGTTTAAATATTTCTTCTAAAGAGAGAGGTACCATATCATAAGAACCCAATCAAAACAATGCAATTTTAAGGGGTCTTACCTTCTCTAAATTGACAAAGATGTCCCATTAGAACATTAGTTTGACTTATTCAAGGATTTCTTAGACAATCAAGACGACAAGGGAAGAATCTTCGTTACAAAAATAACAAGTTGATTCTTTCTCAGGAATCTCTATTTATGAAAAAACTAAAAGAGTTGACAAATAATCAATGGTCTTGAAGAAATATGAGCGGTGAAAAACAAATTTTATTCATGAAAAATATATAAAATCTTAACAATATTTAATAAATTTCATTTCTTTTATTTTATAATGCTTTAAAAATAAAATTTACAATTTTTTTTAATAATATTAACATTTAAATTTAAGAAAAAATGTTATATTTATCTTTTCAATATATAAATAAAAATAAAATTTTCTTAACTTTAATTTTAAAAATATATTTATATCATAATTTATTTTTAAAATCATATATTTTGACAAACAACTCATATGATTACGAAATTTGATGATGTTAAGTCAAAGGCCCTAGTTTTAAAATACTAGTAATAGGTTTTACAGCATACTATGATGAATATTTCATAATTATTTAAAAAAACATTTTATATTCTAAGATGTACTACCTATTAAAATTTAATTATTTTTTATGTAATATTTTAAATTATAAAAAGAAAACAGCCTTATTTTATTTTATTTTTTAAATAAATTGAACTATAAAAGATTAATTATTATATACTATCAGTATAACAAATTATAAAATTATTATATCGAAGATGTATATCAATTAAATTTTTTTATATATATATATATATATATATATATATATATATATATATATATATATATATATATATATATATATATATATATATATATATATATATATATATATATATATATATATATATATATATATATATATATATATATAATTTTAATACCATCGTAATACCATTATTTTTAGTACGATACTAATACCATATTTTGTACAGTACTATGCTAATACCCGAAGAACTGTTTGAAAGCTTAATTTTTACGCCAAGTCGCGAATAAAAAGCTATATATAAACGAAACTTTTGCACCAAAAGAATACCAAAAACCAAAGACCGAAACCGAATTGGGAATTAGGGTTTTATACGAAGATGATAGAGGTGGTGTTGAACGATCGATTGGGGAAGAAGGTTCGTGTGAAGTGTAACGATGATGACACTATTGGGGATTTGAAGAAGCTGGTGGCGGCTCAGACTGGAACAAGGGCCGACAAGATTCGAATCCAGAAGTGGTACACTATCTACAAAGATCATATCACTCTTAAGGATTACGAGATCCATGATGGCATGGGTCTTGAACTCTACTACAACTGAACCCTAAGGTGCCTTATTTTTCTCTATTTTCACCTCTATTGGTTTTAATTTCTTGAGAAAGTTGTTTTTGTTTTCTGAAGAATCTGTTGTTATCATGTTATTTCCCATGTCAATAAATGAAATTATCTTAATTATGTAAAATATATCAAGCCCGTGTGTCAAACTTGATTTTGATATCGTGTTCATGGTTTGAAGGTGTACTGGATTTTGATATGGTGAAATTTAGGGTTTATGTAATTCAAATTTACGGTACGGGGTGGGAGTGGAAGACTGCAATTTTGATGCAGTTTGAAGCATTGTTCACCCTTGGTGTTGGTTACATGGTTTGAAAACATGGATGTGCTTAAGTTGTATGATGCTGGCTTCTCGTTAGGATTGGGTTGAAAAAGAAAGAAAATTCATATCCTTTCAATTGAACTATGTCTGGTCCTGATTATATTTGTGGCAAATTATGAGTAGAAAATATTTGCATTAACCAGTGTTGTTATTAAAACAAACCCGAAAAGCGACTTTATACCGCAATTATGTGTGTAATTTGGGTAGCCGGTACCATATATCAACTCTGATATTTGTAGCTAGGGTTCTCTTTGAGGGCATCCAAGACGGGTTATTTGTCACAATCTCAGGCTAAACAGGGTCTCTTAAAATGTTTGTCACGTTTACACGGTAGTTAAATAGGGTCTCTAACTGTTTTCTCATGATTAAACTGCAATTATCTGTCTCCAAAAACCTAAACTTGAGACGGCTCTGTAGCAATATTTTGTAGCCGATATAAAATGAGTAACAGAGTTGTGTATCTTAGCTGTGACACAATTTTTTCTAACAACAAATAATTATACAAGTATTATGCTATTATACAATTAGTTTCATGTTTATGCATGCCTTGGGCTTTTATATTTATGTTTATGTTTTACTCCGCCTTCGGCTATTTCTTATATTGGATTTTTTTGCCATTTTCTGTCATCTGCTATTTATAATAAATGCAGTCATATGCCAACTAATTTTATGTGTGCATGCATGCATTAACAACCCTTGGCACAGATTTGTTTTTTCTCTTCACGTTTTATGTTCTGTAAGTAGTATATCTCATCTATGTTGAAATTTTTTATGATGATTGTTGCATTTTCTTGTTTGTTTCACAGGCTTGTTTTATGCATGATGTACTATAAGCAAGCACTTGGAATCATCAAAAAATCCTCTGGATTGTAATAATGTACATCTCTTTATGATACTGGATTTTATTTGATATAGGAACAACCAGTTGTAACCTATATATATAACACACATATCTATCTGACTTGTTCCTAGCTTCATATGTATGTAGCATTTGTCTCACTTGGTTGAATTTGAATTTAATGGTCTCTGGAATAACTATAAATCAGGTTTCTTTAATTGACTGACGATGGATCTTCGTATTTCATTGCTAAGTGCACAAAAGATAAATTCATCTAAAATATATAGTTACAAAGACAGTGATGGTTTTATCTTTTATTAGAGTTTAATTTGTACGAGTTTGATGATCAGCTACGGTACAGATGGTCTTCCAAAATGTAATTGTAGTCAAATTGTTGCTGTTTGGGGTTTAACTGTGAAAACAAGTGATATCTTTGATACTTGAGCCGAATCCAAATCTATTAACAGTCTGTTTCTAAAAAATATCAATTATTCTTCAAGGTCAATTAAACCATTTGTTATGAGAATGTGCATTCTCTCAAATCGCCGTTGGCTTCTTTTTTCTTCAAATCACTTGTACGATTATTCTATTAGTTATATAAATCTAGTGTGACTTAGCTATATTTTCAAACATTCTATTGAAATTAGTAAGGGTTAAAACAAAGTTATACTTATGCCCTAACATTTTAGATGGCTCGCTTTTTGACTCCATTTTAGTTGTTTCAATGGAGATGGATTTGCTGCTGTAAACAAACAACAGTCACGTATGTATTGCGGTCAATCTTAATTTGAATGGTAGAAATTATAATTTTGTCAAACTCTTTTCTCGCGTATAATTTGATCAAATGTTTGTGATTAGAACTGTTGTTTTTTGTTCAATGGACATTACACTTTTAACCATTTGATTATACTCAGTTAACTTTAATTCACCCTTCGACCCACCCACCCTATGTTGGCCATCGGCTGCCTCCATTTTAAATCCTGACTCTTGTGTCATGATGAGTCCTAGAGCCATTGTTAGTTATAGGCAATAGAAATGTCTTTTGCTCGGCTGCTCCATTTTAAATCGTGACTCTTGTGTGATGAGTCCTAGAGCCATAGGCAGTTATATGTAATAAAAATGTCTTTGCTTGGCTGCTTGGTTGCAAAAGCATGGTGTTCATATGCTTAGCATTACATGTGGCAGCTTTCTTGTTCCCTTGGCCATGAAGTTTGCTTTGCGCTCTCCCTTGTGTGGAAGGTAGGTAATATAACACTGCTTCCAACATATGTAGATAAAAAACATTTGAACTCAGATTTCATATATGAGATATTTTGAATTTGGTAGTTGAAAATAGAAAATAATCAAACAATGTTAACTCGCACGCACACATGGAAATATTCTTTGTATAAAGTTTTGGTCAAGAAAGTATTCTTTGTACAAAGTTCTGGCTCACACACTGGTTGCAAAAGGGAGCTCTTAAACGAAAGTTTTGGTCATGAAAGTATTTTTTTTTGTATAAAGTTTATCATTCCTTCAGAGGATTATATCAATCTAAAATATGGAAATAATTAAGGGTGGATATCGGTCGGTCACGGCCGGTTTTGAATTCAAAATTGGTCACCGAACAAATCTGATGGGCCTAAAATACCAGTCCACTTCCGACCATTTTTGTTGGATGTCGGTTTCATCAGATTTTACGGGTGGATTGATTCGGTTTCCTCTCTTTACATAGAGCTTGTAAATCTTTGATGTTGATATGATTTTCTTCAATGTCCTGCACTTTTAACACAATATCTTAATGATAAATACAAGATGAAGAAAGAAAACAAGTTATTATAGAATGCAAGTTATTGGATAGCCTACTAGTTCATAGAATAAGCAAGTATTCGTGGGACTTTTTTAATTTTAAATTATTTGTAATAATTTATAATAAAAATAACATTAAAAACCCATGCAAAAAAAAAAGTTCAAAATTCATGCAAATTTGACTGTTATCTAACGTGATTTTTTAAAAAACTTAAAAGCTATCAACTATCTTTGTCTGCAAAAAGAAGGGAAATATTAAGTTTGTACATTTATGGATTTGGATTCTCTCCTTTTTTATATATCCTATCATCTCTCATTTTTTATATATCCTGTCATCTCTCATGTTTTTAATTTAACGGTTCAGAATTTATAATGAATAATGTTGAAGAAATTTCAAAAATAACAAAGACAAATTACTTATTAATTTCTCTCTCCTATTAAATAGTTTTTTTTATTTAATTATTCATTATAAATTCTGAACCGTTAAATTAAGAACATGAGAGATGTCAGGATATATAAAAAAGGAGAGGATCCAAATCCTACATTTACATAGTGTATGCAGGTGTATGGCAAAGTACTTGCGTGTTTTTTTTTTTTTTTTTTGCATGTAGGTAACACGCTTGGTACCCATTGGTAACCATACCCATCATTAGCTATTAGCTTATATATTTGTATTTAACTTGTATAAGAAAAGCAGTTTTGCTATTGTGACAGCGTTTTTCCTAGATCGTATTATACGCCATATTTATTAACAAAGTAAAATTGTCTTGCACGCAAATCTAAATAAAATAAATTATTAAAGAAATGAATTAGTATGTATTTTGTATTGAATTACAATATATGTGTCAAAAATCAGTGTAAGAATATATTTTTTCTAAGAAAAGATAATCTAAATACATATTGTGTATATAGTTAGTTGGATCGAATAGTTCAAGTTATTTATATACTTTGTATTACATACTTGTATATATAGTAGCTTTTAGCTACTTTTCCGATCAATGAAACAATAATAACACTTTTATCAGTTATTTCACTTTTGTTTTCTCTGTATTTTATTTTTAAGATTTTGTGTGAAGATCTTCATTATCAACATGGTATTAGAGCTTAATCAGCTATGGTAGTCATTGTTACTTGTTTTCTCTTTACATCTCCTATTTTTCCATTCTGCATTTTGTTTGAAGATTCACTCTGAATCTTCTTTTTCTTCTGCAATTGCATTCTTGATTTCTGTTGATTGTTTTTGTTTCGTTCTTGATCTTCCATGGCTTACCAGAGCTTTGTTGGTTTCTCCACAAATTCTGCAAATCCTACTACTTGCATTCGAATGAGAACCTTGCGCTTGTTCTTGTTTCACCTCCCCTCGACAACAAGAACTACAATATCTCGGCTCGCTCGATGCATATTGCGTTCATCTCTAAGAACAAAGACAAATTCATCGGTGGAACCCTAACAAAGCCTCCTGTCTCAGGTCCTCTATATGTGTCATGAATTCGATGTAACATCATGGTTCTTGCTTGGATTCACGTTCAATTTCAGAATCCATAGCCAAATCAGTTCTTTGGATTGATAGTGCGGCTTGCGTTTGGAAAAATCTGCAAATTCGTTTCTCTCACGGTGACATTTTCCGCATTTTCGATATTCAGGAAGACCTTTACAAATTTTGTCAAGGTACACTCGACGTATCCAACTATTTTACTCAATTGAAGGTTATGTGGGATGAACTAGAGAATTATCGTCCCCCTTCCAGCTTATTCTTGCTCGATTCCGTGTTATTGTGGTGTTGTTGCATCTGTTTTGCATTATCAGGAACAAGATTACGTAATTCGTTTTCTTAAAGGCTTGAATGAGAAATTTGCTCACTCCAAGTCTCAGATTATGATGATAAGTCCTCTACCTAGCATTGATAAATCTTTCTCTCTTGTCATTCAACAAGAAAGAGAAATCAATAGCTTTAACTATGTTGCAATTCCCGGCATTGACAATTCTGAAGAAGTCACAGCCCTACAGGTTCAATCTTCTCCAGGCAATTCAAATGGCA